GAGAAACATGTCAGAGTCACACGTAAAGTGAGTTTATTTATTTCACAGAGCCATGACTTTTAAACTACCCTATTTTCAGGTGTATAAGCCGCACCCTTTTTGCTCTAAACGCGAGCAGACTCAGGCGTGTCGCTGCGCATGTGCCCCGGAAGCGGTCGCTTTCTCGCACATTGCTCTCATTTAACGCGCCCCATCATAACAGGCAGTCTTTTGGCGTGTGCGCCTTTAGAGTGAAAAGGGTGCGGCTTATACACCTGAAAATAGGGTACCTGCTCAGAAGTTCGCGTATCTTGCACGCCACTTTGTCACGTTACAGAATGTAACAGACATAAGCATTGTAGTGCATCCGTATAAACCATCTCCAGTTGATTCTGTCCCTTGGATGCATCATCTCACATTCTTACTGATAGTCAATCCTGTATTTGCTGGAATCATGTGGAAAAGTCGCATGCAATAAATTTCTTAATTAGTTCTTCATTTTCACAAAATGACTCTGCCCATCCTTCTCGATCTTTCTCTTAACTTTGCAAGGTATCCACTTATCTGAAGAGAACATTTGTTGTCTATTCTTCCCTTAACGTGACCAACACGATCACTCACTATCTTTTCAAAATTTTGCTATGTCCTCAAATTTGTTCAAGTTATGAGAAAATTTATATTCAAATCATGATGAAAAAAACTTCATATGCATGTGCTGTTCTCCAGTGCACTGAGCCGTACTTTCTAAGATAAAAGCTGATGTCTGCAAATTTTCAGTAAGGTGCTCGGTCCGATAGTCAACAATCTACAGATTCAAATGCCAGAAATCAGCAGAAATAGTAAATGAAGAGAAGATTGATCAAAGGCAGTGGCTAAGCAGAATAGGACCCGTGGTAAAACAATATAACAGAGTAAAAGCCTCCATGATGGAACCTAAAGACTTCTCGATTTCTCACCGTCACTTCTAATCCCGGATAATCTAACGCAAAGGCGCGTTTCCATCCCCTCTTACATCTCTTATCTCTGACTCCGCCTAACTCGCGTTCCCTTCCACTGTCAGAGCTCGCATACCGCAGTGCTTTAGGCAAAAAGGTCCTGCAACGACTCTGCGTCTTCGCCATAGCGAGCTTTGCGATTTTCGTTGCCATGGCGACTGCCTTTAAACTTCGAGCTTGACATGTTTTACTTAAATCGAAGTCAGGAACGACCACAACGGGACAAAAGAATATGGAGAAGATGACTACCATCAAGATATGGAGTGAAAAAGACTAAAAAATGATTGCAGCCAGTCAAACATCATGTGGGCCACATATGAAAAAAATAATTTTCGCCCTTTCCACTCAAACATCTTTCAACCCACAAATTCCCTTCCTGGCCTATCTGTGGGCAAAACGCCCGCTCTTTCATATACATTTTATTGGATTTGCTAAAAGGAGATCTTGGGAAGAAGTTCGGTCAAAAACCATTGCGCGCATTTTGAAATTTTCTCCGAGCAGAACAAATTCTTTCATCGAAGCCCAAGGTGGATATCCCGAAAGTATTCTACAAAGTCCTATACGGAAATTTCTTGTCTATCAGATGAAAACAAAAGATTTCAATTTCATTGAGTTCTAGCAATGTTACGAAAGCTCTGGTGCGTCACATTTTATGTGGAACACCTTGTTATAAAGACTAGCTGGAGCCCCAAAGCGAAAGTCAAGAAGGGCACGATGGTGTACCCTATTTGTTATAATGTAAGTGCTAAGTCTAGACCTATAAATTGGCTCACAAAAATTTCTATTTGGGACGCACATATTTCTTCACACTTATAAATTTGAGTCCTTCATGTATAGAAAAAATATAGTAGATACCAGTAATCGGGAATATAAGCTCAACAGCAAAAAAAAAGTTTATTCGCCTTTCAAAATCTTAATTATGTGAGACTATTCCAGCAAGAAGTGCACTTCGAGTCATTTCTGGCAGCAGTATGACTTGGAGTCACAGTATGCATATGCGAACAAGAGATTAAAAAAAGCATAAAAGTAATTTGTTTTGTTTGATGTACTTCGACCTCTGACGGGGAGTGTGTTTACGACATGAACGAGAGTGTGGTACCATCACGCCATTGCCACATAAACGGCTGAGGACAGAAGCTATACATAAGCATAATTATCTGTATGACATAACTAGTTCTCCATATGTCACAAGTTCGTCACCTCTGCTTAGAGCCTAGCACTCACTCCTCTATCCACATGCCTTCCCCATGCTCACATGATGATGGCTTTGAACTCACCGCGTTACGTCATCATCACGAACAGGAGCAGATACAGCACAGTTCGAAAGTTTGCAGGCACTTTTGAATTCTATGATATCTTACTCTGTTTCACAAAGAACGAATCCAAATTTGATATTACATGCAGATCACACTATTCAAGGCTATGCCAAGAGATATGTAAAGAAATCTCCTGCACGCAGGGGCTTCGGGGATAATGATAACGGTAAATCGAACTTGGTTAAAATTCGCAGCCACTTTGTGCTAGAAGACTTTGGAAAACTATTTGCTGTCCAAGGCTACAGATGCAAATCTAATCCTTACTTGTGCAGTGCAACCAGCGTTCATCAAACTCCAAAAGAGAAAGTCCGGAACAAATTTGCTTGAAGCCTGACCGCAAATGTTGAATAAATTAATAAGTTATCGAGAAGTAATCGGCTCATCCATGCACCTACGGAAATATTGTATCATTCACGTTTTGTGGCGTTTGCGAATGTGACAGAAAAAAACATCAGTAGGCTTGCTTCAAAATCTAGCAACTCTCAGCTCAAGTCCGAAGCAGTGTTCAAAAATTGGGCTTGATGGTTCACAGAGTTCTCAAGCTTGATGAGAACATTGCTTCTATAAAGACCAGCACTGATCCGAAGCTCACATAACTTCACTAGAAACATGGAACTGCTACCGTCAGAGAAAAGTTTGTGCGATATACCTAAATCTGAACGTCGTTCGTTCCCTAAACGTTCAGTTTTTAGAGAAATTATCAGTTGCGAAATGGCGCAAACGTTCCTTTCCCTTAGCGGTATCATCCACTGGAACTCTGCCAGCTTCGAACCAGTGCTGGTCTTCATAAAAGCAGGGTTTTCATCAATTCTAGAAGCCTGTCACCGTTCAGCCCGTTCGTGCTTAAAATTGCTCCGCATTTTAGTTGAAGTGGTGGGAAATTTGAAGCATGCCAAGTACCCTATTTCCAGGTGTATAAGCCGCAAACTTTTCGCTTTGAAGGCGAACACGCCAAAAGACTGATTGTCATCATGGAGCGCGTTAAGTGAGAGCAGTATGCGATAAGGCGACCGCTTCGCGAGACACATGCGCGACGGCACGCCTGGGTCTGCTCGCGTTTAGAGCAAAAAGGGTGCGGCTTATACACCTGAAAATAGGGTAATTCTATTTAGGCTTTTTGAGTATGCAAACCGCCACTAAACGTCCAGATAGTGCAACATTTCTTCAGGAGCATGGATGCCAGCCGATTACATTCAATAAACAAATGATTTATCCTATTATTGAGATCATTTGACGTTCGAGCAAATTTACTCCAAAAAGCCCTCCTTTGTTCGATGCAGTGAACCTCAAGATGTGCAGTGCACAGTCCAATGTGCACTGCACATCTTAAAGTTTAGATTGCATTATGTCCTACATATTGGAAAATCACAAGTTTTCCAAAGACGTTTAGCACAAAGTGGATGCAGGTTTTGACCATCTTCGATTTTGCCTTTTCACCAATTTCGCCAAAGCCCTTTTTGTATGCAGGAGATTTCAATTCTTGGCATAGCGTTAAGCAGTGAACTTGCATGTAATATCAAACTTGGATTCGTTTTTTACGAAATCGAGTAACATTTAGCAACTTCAGAGCTGCAAACTTTTAGTCAGCAATGTATAAACCTCTTTTCCTTAAATCTCTGCCAACCTCATGTTCCCTCTTTTTCTTTCCTCTACAAGATTTGTGGAAAAAGATGTAAGCTCATTAGGGGCTGCGCAAACACAGACACACTACTCTCGATTCAAGGGGATGCAACTGGAAGGCGACTGCTCGCACCCGCCTCAGCTTTGACTAGGCCTCGAAGCCCGTTTTCGGCCGCCAATCCCGTTAAAATTTCTAGAGTACATTATAAAAACACAGCCTAAACCATGGCCCTGTAAACCTCTCCAGCACAACTTGGCAAGGGGGGGGCTAGCTTAATCGTGCGCCGCCTCCCAGTATCAATAGTGCCTCTGTTTGAGTGGGAACCTTTTGTGGATGTGATAAAGCTGCTCCTTCTTTGAAGAAAGAATGGCGCGCTTGCGCAGGTTTGGTCAAGCGGGTCAGCTACTGACGTTCAATCCTCCCAACCATGTTTCGAAGTCCCTGCGGCACCTTTTTTGTTAAGAGGCAAGACAGATTTTAATGACGGTCGCTAACGAAATTTGATGGTAACCGCTAACAAAGCCCCAGCAAATGGAGGGATCAAATGAAAATAACAATATCTTCCATGGGGTTAAATGATTGAAAAAAGTGGAAGAATAAACACTGGCTTTAAAACGTTTTCTTTTTGGGATAGAGCACTTGCTGCAAAAACAAGAGGAGCCTTATTTCCCTTATTTCCCAACTTTTTAGGCAATCAGCTGTTTAACGTCCCTTGTCCTTAGGCGCTCAAAATCGTGCATTTTTTTGGTCTCGTCCTTAGCATTGCATCAATATACGTGCTCCGTAACTTACTCGCGAGCAACTTAAAGGATTTTTGTCTGATTCTGTGGTTTTGCACACTATTTCCGTCGAACGAACTCACGACTTATCTCCAAAATACGGGTCGTACGTTGAACTGACAGGGTACCTGATCGGACGTTGTTCTGACTGTTTTGCCATCATGAAGCATGGGAAAGTGGGCAACTTCAACACACAAAGTTTTTTTGAAAGGATCAATTTAACCAAAAAGTAATACTGTATTCCTAATGAAGTTCCTGAGATGTTAAAAGTGACTTTAAACTAATGAAAACTATCAATCTTTGCGATTATAGCGACAGTTGGCGATATGTGATCATGACGAGATGTTCTAGCAGTCAATTTCAACGAAACGGTGAAATAAACGATTAAAACGCTTTTTCTACATCAAAAATCATCTCTTAAGTACTGATAAGAGCTTCATAAAAACTCCGCTTTTATGGTACGAAATTTGACAGTTTGTCTGAAATATCAAACTGGTGCTCGTAGCTGACTTACTAATTTCTACTGTCCGTCTTGTGTGGCTATGGACTTCGACTGGGGTTATGTTTTTATCATAGGTAAGTCAAGGTTGAGAATCAATTGGTTCAAGTTAGAGCGAGATCGAAATAACCAAGATATTATAAAATTAATTCAATGACTTGTAGAGTTTTTTGCGGCATTTCTATTACATCACATAACATTATTTTATGCGTATAGAAAGATTCTAGTATGGTTGTTACATAAGTCTTGTTACACTTCAACTTCTTACAGCGATAAGTCATGCACCTCATATTCTTGACAAGGCTCCAGGGTACTATTCGATAGAGCGAAGCAAGCTCTACAAAACATTATTCAAAAGTATGCACCAACTTCGACCCACTATAAGTTTGCATCCAAAATCTGAGTCGTACTAGAGGCTCAAAAAACGCAGAAAATTCATATCTTCGCTCAAAAAAATTCTACAAATCTCCAACTTGCTCATAAAAATTGCACACTATATCAGACACTTATATGTCCGTTGCTGTATTTTTTTCCTCATCTAGAAATCGAGAAAACGAAAATTTTCTTGTTTTAACGAAGCTATGCTGTTTCTTTTTATGCAGCTGTATACTACAAATCCTTAAAAGTATAACTGTAAATTTTCTGCTTTCCAAAAGCCCTAGTCTCCGAAAATTACCTAATTTTTAGCATTGAACACCCGAGTGAAAAAAGCTAAATTAGGTATTTTTCGAAAACCAGGGCTTCTGGAAAACTGAAAATTTACGATTATACTTCTAATGGCTTTTATTATACAGCTACATAAATAGAAACAGCATAGCTTCGTTTCTGTAAAAACAAGAAAATTTTCGTTTTCTCGATTTCTAGATGAGGAAAAATACAGCAACAGTACATAAAGTGTCTAATATAGTGTGCAATTTTCATGGGCAAGTTGGAGATTTGAACAAAGTTTTGAGCCTTCAATGCGATCACATTCCGGATGCAAACTTACGGTGGGTCAAAGTTGGGGCGAACTTTTGCACAATATCTTGTATAGCTTGCTTTGCTCTATCGAATGGTACCCTGGAGCCCTGTAAGAATATGAGGTGCATGACTTATCGCCCTAAGAAATAAAAGCAACAAGACTTATGTAACAACCTTATACTATTAGCATTTCAAAATAATTGTACTAATATAACAAAGAAGGATCCGATAAAGTTAAGGACAAAAAGTCTTATTCAGATTCAATTATGTTTTGTATAGATGTAGTAGACTCTCTTATCATTGATCATAGTTTCAATCACAGTCAGACATTTTCGAGACTTGCAAAAGATGAAAATTGAAAGTTGGGAGCTTAGGTGAAACAGAAACTTCTCGAATTTTCATTGATACTGAACCTTTTGTAACTCAAAAGCCATGTATTCTTAAGAAATTTGTTACTGAGCTCAAAGGAAGGGGAGCCTCTTTTTATTAGAAAATGCATATTTTTCAGCACAGAATTTTCCTTGGTCTTTGATATTAAAAAGGGTAAAACCCTATATCGTAGCGTGGGCATTTTTTGTATTAAATACTAATTGAATTATTTTTATTACTAGTAATAATTAGTACACTAATAATAAATACTAATTGACTGAATACTAATTCTTATACCTAATTTTCTTGAAGCTCAAAGTGCTAATTACTCGTAAAAAATTTTTGTCACGCTGAAATTTTTTTTAGACGATATAATTTTAGCAAAAGTCGTTATTCTTGCCGATATTTCGAATAAAAAACTTTATGTTGCAGCGTTGTGGGCATTTTTTCCGGGCGCTATCGCATTAGCTGGGTCGATCTTCTTCCTATTTTTACGCAGCAGGCAGAAGAAGGCTATCACAGAAGCACCACCACGACCAAACGTCAATTGGGATAAGCAATCCCTGCCTGTAAAGGTACGAGACTAGGTTTGAGAGAATCGTGTTCTTTGTCTTTTCGGAAACCATTCGCTACATTTTTCTTGCGATTAGCGGTTTTTTGGAGTAATCTTCTTAATTTTTGATGGCTAGTGAGTGACTTTCAATTCATGTTCAGCGCTACTTTTTTTGAAGGGTGAACCAGGTGTTTACAAATGCGGATTGCTTACCAATGACAACGAAAATGTGGTCGAACGCATCTACCCGGAAGTGGTGACACTTTATGATGCTTTTCTGTATGGTATGAAGGTACGGGCTTCACAATTCAAAAAGACCAAAAACTGTAAGAATAGTTTTTAGAAATCCAACGATGCTGATTGTCTTGGAAAACGGGGACCTGATGGGAAATTCTATTTCCGCAAATATTCGGCAATTCTGAAAGATTCAGAATATTTTGCATCCGCCTTGTTTGGAGAGCTCGATCTAAGGCCGGGTATATATTACATATATATCCATTGGCTATTCTAGCAAATTAATCGGTTTCATGTTCTTCTTAAGTGCTCATATTTCAGGTGATAAAATCGGTATCTACTCGCAGAATCGCCCAGAATGGATCATTACAGCCTTGGGCTGCATGCAGCAGTCTGTGATTCTAGTTCCTCTTTATGATACGTTAGGTGCTGACGCTGCCTCATTTATTGTCTCACAGACTGAAATCAGGTATCTTCTGACTATTTCCAGTAACGATTTGACGAGGATTTTTCGCAAAAAATAATTTACTACTTTGAAGTGGCGGCCTAGGTTTTTCTGAGTGATTCTGAAGTAAGGCAAGGAAAAATTGGCCCCGACAAGCAAAAAGCCCCAGAGCTCCTTTTTTGCTTGTCAGGGCTGCTGCCACATCTGACATACTGGTCCTTAAAAGTAGTGTGCGGGCAGAAAGGGCCAAAAAAGGCTCTAACGCAGGGGGAAACAGTAAGTGGGCGAAGTCCTCCCCATTGTGAATTCACGCTCCCAGCTTCCGGAAGCCATTTTTTGCCGTTTTCGCGCTCTCCAATGTTTTCGGATTCAGGCGTAGCGAATAGGCCCGGGTAAGCACAAAATCTCGAAATCGAATTTTTGCCCGGACACTGGTTTAAAGGCAGCCCAGAATCTATACCATGTTCTCTAAACGATGTATATGTAGGGCCCAGAAGAATACTAACCGCGATGGTCCTGCCTCCCAATGTTGCTGGGAAAAAACGAAAAAAAAGGGGAAAAAACGCGTCTGATTCTTTTTGTTTTGCGGTCCGCCTTCTTCGGACGAATTCACGACATAAGCTGTAAGCGTAGGCTGAGGCTGTTATGCAGTTGTAGTTGCTCCTCGCTGGCATGCCGACGAGGTCGAGCAATTCGAAACTCGTCCGCCATCTGAAGAAAGGGTCCTCGGGAATAGGGTTTTTTAGGGGTCTTGGAGAATTTGAAATTCACATATATCAGGGTCACGGAAAAGCCCTAAGATGACAAAAAACACCGTCCACCCAGGTTTTGATCGTTCCGGGGCCTTCTCATGTCGCTGATCTCGAATATGAAGTCGAGAACCCGCGAGAACCCCAACAATTCCCGTTCCGGAGAGCCCTCAGGCCGACTTTTCGGAACGGTGTGGCTGGGCGCGCACGGATGGGCGAGCATGGATGGAGAAGTGGTGCCGTCTGGGGGCCTCGTCAGGGCCCGGCACGAGGTCGGCAAATGACAAGCTGGAAATCGTTTTGGGGCCAAAAAGCAAAGGGGAAATCGTTTTTGCGGGGTCAGGGGCGGAGCCCGGAAAAAAATTGGTAGTTCATGCTTGCTATAGTGTGGACTCCGGCCAGGTTCCCATAGGTACTTCCGCAGCGCGCACGCAGCGCGCGCCCTTCTCAATGCCTCTTGTCTCACTCATGAGCAGTAGAGCATATTTATGCTCACAAAGGAGAAAAATGTAATGTGGAAACCTCTAGGTTCCCCACGAAAGAGAAGTATGCAAGAATGAAACGTAGGCAAGTTCCATGTATACCTCAAACTCAATCAATGGATGCATGTTCCGAACTTGCACTGATGAATAGGTTGTAATAGCTAAACATAGAAGAATTAAAGAACAACAGCATTCTTAAAACATTCCTCTTCGCAGACGTAGAAACTAGAGTGGTCAAAGATTCCAAAAAAGTAGATATTTCAGTAAACAAATGCCTACTGGCTTCTCGGAAGGCTCAATTTTGACTTAAAATACTGTCTACACCTTACACATCAAACGGAAGGAGACTCTTCTTATATATAAAGCTGAATGTCTGTTTGTCTGTCTGTATGTCTGTCTGTCTGTATGTCTGTCTGTCTGTATGTCTGTCTGTACGTATGTTCCGAATAGAAAATTCCATTTCTGAACCGATCCGGACCAAACTTGGCACACATACACTTCGGGCCCCTGCGGGTGTCATAGGCTACTTTTCGTCATCGATCGATATCGATTTTATCGATTTTTATCGATTTTTTTGCTGAGTTCACCTACGAGGCTGGGAGTTGGCACAGGGGGGTAATCGAGCGTGGGGATTCCGAATACAATATTGGTTTTCGGGATTATCGATTACTTTTATCGATTTTATCGATTTTTTGCAAGGTTTGAGCTACGGGGCTGGGAGTTCGCACAGGGGGGTAATCGAGCATGGGGATTCCGAATACAATATTAGTTTTCGGGATTATCGATTACTTTTATAGATTTTATCGATTTTTTTGCAAAGTTTGAGCTAGGAGGCTGGGAGTTGGCACAGGGGGGTAATCGAGCATGCTGATCATCCCCAAGGGGGGTGATCAGCATGCTCGATTACACCCCTGTGCCAAATTCCAGCCCCCTAGCTCAAATTTTCAAAAAATCGATAAAATCGATAAAAGTAATGGACGATCTTGAAAACTAATATTGTATTCGTAATCTGCATGCTCGATTACCCAACCTGTGCAAACTCCCAGCCCCGCAGGTCAAACTTTACAAAAAAAATCGATAAAATCGATAAAAGCAATGGACGATCCTGAAAACTAATATTGTGTTCGTAATCAGCATGCTCGATTACCCCCTGTGCAAAATCCCAGCCTCGCATGTCAAAATTTACAAAAAATCGATAAAATCAATAAAAGTAACCCGATAATTCTGAAAACTAATATTGTATTCGGAATCCCCATGCTCACTTCCCCCCCTGTGCCAACTCCTAGCCCTGTAGGTGAACTCTGCAAAAAATCGATAAAAATCGGTAAAATCGACATCGATCGATAACGAAAAGTGGACTGTGACACCCGCCGTGGCCCGAAGTGTATGTGTGCCAAGTTTGGTCCGGATACGGCGGAGCCGGGTAAGCCAGCTAGTATTGTATATAGGAAGCTTTTAAAAAAATATTATCTCAATATCCAATCAAATCTCAATTTTTCAGAGAAAAAAGGGAAAACACAAGACTATTACACAAGAGTGAAGCTCTTAGAACTGTTAGAGCACGTATAATCTCGTCACCGGTCATCGCGAATTGTTTATACCTAAAATAGAGAGAATATAGTACACCAAAAGCAGAAAAAAGGAAAGAAAGGAGGATTTCCATCAGAAGCCAGGACAGGAGACGCACTGAAGGCGTGCGTTGCGGGTGCGTCGCGCAGGTACCTATGGGAAGCTGGCCGTGGTCCACACTATACTTATCTTGACATGTTATGTGCCTCAACAGGCGAACACTGGAGTTTGCGCGCGTCAAACCGCATCGTCGCTAATTGCCGCACGCGCGACGTTGCCCAAGAGATGCTATTTGTAACTGCATACATGACTAGTTCTCAGTGTATGTGTAACGATATGGCACCAAATTTTGTATGCGAACGGAGAGAGGCTAGTGGAAACATAGTATGAAAAATTATGAAAAACTTATGTGAACGGAACGAGTAATTAGCATTTTTTCCGGGAATTTCGCAAAACTGGTAAATGAAGATGTGAATTCAAACGGCTCGTTTGGAACGCGCAGATGAACGATATGGTATGAAACTTGGTAAGTACATGCACACGGGCTTGCAGGGTTTAACTGAGGAGTTTCATTGAAAAATTATGTGACTGAAGGTTGTGGCAAACGTTTTTCTGAAAATTTTGCGCTACCAAAGAAATGGAAAAATGGCTCCTCTGCAACGCAGAGGTAACGAAATCGCGCGGGTTTCGGTGTGTGTATGCGCAATAGGACTAAGTAATAAAGTATGAAATATTATGAAAAACTTATGTGAATGAAGAGCGTGCTTAACTAATTTCCAAATTGGGTCGGCATTTGCCGACCTAATTCCCACCTGAGGTCGGCAAAACTCTCAATTCACATAATTTTTTCAAAATTTTTACATAAATCTGTTGTACACCTGAAGTTTACTATATAGTGAAATTTTAGTTCCGAAACTCCTCCTCTTGTCCTTGTTAGAGCCCAAAATCGCATCAGCAGCCTAGCTTTCTAAGAAGAAAGCGCGCCCCAGTCAATCGATACGCACGGGAACGGCGTCTCTCATTCCTATGACTGCGTTTCTTTGATATTTTCTCATTCCTTAATCATTTTTCTTGCTTATTTTTCTTTCTGTTTTCTATTTTGATACAGCTGAGGAGTATTTTGAGGAATTTGAGCAATTTGGGCGCTTTTGAGCGCTTTTAGGCGAACTGTGGCCGCTAATCTCGTCGCACAAGCACAAAACGTCATTTTGGGCTCAAGGGGGTGTTCGTAAAATTTATTGGGATCAAAGGGGAATTCGTTTTGGAAAACCCCGTTTGCCCACCTCGTGCCAGGCCCTGGACCTCGTGCATCTTCGTTATCCCGGAGCGATTTTCTCGCTTCCGGAGCAACATTTTGCGCTGCGACTTGGGCATTGGCTTGTTAGGGGGTCCTAATATCATATGCTGCCAAAAGATATGATATTAGGGAAACCACTCATAACCCTCAATTTAGGGTGGACGATGCCTTCAAAGAGTTTCCACTTATCTGGGTTTATCCGTCCACTGATTCCGACTGTGCAGCTCGCAGAAGGTGAAAATGTTGAAAGCGGGGTTCGCCTGAGGGTGCATTTTTGCCAAGATTACGGCGCAGAGTCGATGTGACGCTACGGTCATGACAGTATGTGCTGTACGCACTCTAGCCTTGCAATTCAAAAGAGCGAGGTCCGAGCCTACAGTAAGATCCGTACCATTTTCGGTAGACTTATCAGATCCCCTATCTCGCTCCAAACTTCAGCCATCGCTTAGGCAGGGGATCTATTATAACATCGTTACAGAAGCCAGCATTTCCTTGCTGAGACTCTGTCTTCAAGCATATATAGAAGGGCTAAAATTGAAAACGAAGGAAAACTGAGTAAAATCGAGTAGTATCTTTTTGCTCAAGAAAACCCTACCTCTAAAAAGCAAAATTGAGGGTTTGCACTGGTTCAAGTAATAGCTTTCCTGTCCCTCTTCCTCGCCTTTGTGCTAATTTTGATTCGAAAGACCTTTTTCAGCGTTGTTCTGGTTGATAGTGTGGCGAGGGCAAAGAATTTGTTATCAAAAAAGGATTCAATGCCCTCATTCAGAACGATCATCATGGCGGAGAAAAAAGAGATTACCGATGAGTTGACCAAGGAGGTAGGTTGCAGAGCACAAGATAATGTTTTTTTACATCAGATGCTCCACACACTAAATTTTCTAGTAGAGGCCCCTATTAGACGTAGATACAGACAACAGAGGCAACGTTTGTTTACTCAGAATTAACAAAGCTTATCCTCAGGGTCAAGCGTGGGGTGTAGCACGCCACATCTGGGAAGTCGTACCGTTGTAACTACCGCTTTTTTGAGTTTCGCCACACCCCATTAACTTACCTAAGAAACTTTTAGCAAACAGAATATTTAGGCGGCTGCATGACGAAGGCGCAATATCTTTGAACGCAAACGCGGCTTTATTAGCCGAAGAGCGAAGGCGCAGTTTCTACAAGGGTAAAGATACGCTCGCGTCACGTTCGCGCCCGCTCAGCTAATACTGCTTCGGCGCCTTCGTCATGCAGAACGCTTTCCATAGATAGCCTGTTTCATAGTTTTCAAGAAGTATTTGAACGTAAATCGTGTTCTTCAATCGGTGTTACAATTGTCGAAAATGCAACCATTCACAGCAGAAAATGAGACAAACAAGATTTTGAGTTCCTCTAATGCCATCTTTGAGGATTACTTAAAGTTGGATTTCCAAAGTGTATGGGCATGTAGGAAGTAATGCATTGTGCGATTGCAAAAAAAAAGAAGAAGCTAAGTTACCTTTGGAACAAAGTTAATCCACATTTCACGTGGGTGGCTCAGTATTGGAAACCTTAGAATTCGCTAGAATTTGGTCCAAAAAGGAAAGACTATTTGATATGCTAATTACGAATGTGATACTCATCATCTATCTCTATATAATAGAGCGCAGGATGACTCATGCGTACGAATGTATGTTCACTATAACTAGAGAGTTTACTAGTTTGCTAACTAGAGAATTTTGTTACTTGTATGATTCTGATGGGAGCAAGATCATCTAAGCTACGTTACTGGTTTTTATCTGTAGCAGCAGAGCAAAGATGAAGCCCAATTTTGAGAGCATCATCCTACAAAGTTTAAGTTTAATTCTGCGATCCTGTGGGGTCTTTGTCTCGTCTGCGAAAAACCAGTGGAAATTAATTGGGGATAGTAAGGGAACTGAAGAAAGTGAGCAAATATCAGTGCTTCTCAAGGGCGGCGAAGCAGTTGATATAGTCCAAACATTGACAGTCCTTGATAATGAACAGAGCTTCAGCCAAATATAGTTGAGTTTGCTCAAATCTGCGATTCTCCATGCGCCATATTCAATAGCAAACTATCTCAGCATTGGAAATGGAGGAACCGAGGAAGAATGATTAAGTTCTCTTGAAGTGACGTTCAACAAGTCATATTTCAAAAAAAAACTGTTGATGTGAGAGAGATGGCCGCTACACGTTGAGAGCCTTTTCAAAATGAAGCCGGTTTTTCCACCACAAATTTCCAAAATGCGAAACATAACCTCGAGTCATTTGGAACTTAATATGTGAGACTGCACACTAAGCCCTTAACGACGGCACCCATACTAATAACTTTCCAGTAAAACATTTTCTAGCCTAACAAAGTGTAGAAATATGTTCTACCGACTGACATATAACCAAAAAAAGAAAAGAAACAAGGAAACATGGAGCAATCACTGGAAATGAGCAGGTTTTAGTTTTGCAGTTCGTCAGTTAGCGTGTATAGTGTGCACTATGCATATTAAGTTACAAATGACCCGACTATACATGTATCGTGAAAGTCGAGAATAAATTCAATAATCACTAAATTTCATCATGTTTTTTAGTTGTGTTTTATTATTATTGTTTTAACTGTTCTCCGAATCATTTTCTGACACACAATAATGACAGTTAATATAGTACAATAGAAAATAGTGTTAGCTAATATGATATTTCAGCTTCTTTATAGACTCATTTTAAGGACATATTTTCTCAAACGCAAAACAAAAATCTGCTCAAGCATTTGAGCCGGCGAAGTGGTGCGCCAGCTAGTGCTTGATAAGGACTCATTCTATATTCTGTTAGGTAGATAGTGATGCTGGGGGGGGGGGGGGAATGAGTAAGGGGGAGGAAATGGTCTCTTGAGACATTCAGCGGAGTAGTTAGACTGGTCGTACTCACCCATGATAATTTCTCTGCTATATCAGCTGGGACAAAACCAGTATTTCAGATTATTCAATTCTTCATTGCTCATTTTCAAAAAAAAAACTCTACCACATTTATTAGCAGTCAATTCGCAATGTAACTAAAAGAAATTCTATTTTACCAAATATGCTAAAACTATTAGTTACCGTTCACAAGAGTGTGTGAGAGATTAATGGATTGAATCATTCACAAAGGACATCTTTTGCTTGAATTGCTTGAATGTTTCTGAACAATTGCGAGCCAAATCACGAAAAGTTGGTGCATTTCAGACGCAGTTGCATGGGATTAGGTTGATGTCCTACGAAGATGTTCTTCACGCAGGAATAAAAAATCCCAAGCCAAAACATCTGCCAAACAAAGACAATATCTACATCATTTGGTAAGCTTGTAATTTAGCACCAAGGAATGGAATCTGAGTTGCTTCCTTACAGCTACACTTCTGGAACAACTGGAAGACCGAAAGGAGTCATTTTAACGCACAAGAATGTTATGGCTAATGTCAGCTCTTTTGTGTACATGGCCACAACACTTGATCCAGGGCTACTTGATGAGGATATTGTAATCCTATAAAACTCTTTTCCATACATCTAGTTCTGAGGGATTCAAGGCAACAATTTAGCTAGTTTTATCGTACCTACCATTATCGCACATGATGGAGCAAGTTTGTCATTGGGTATTGCTTATGCATGGGTTTCGTATCGCTTACTACAGCGGGAGCATTCCAGTAAGTTAAAAACAGAAAAATCTTTTTCAAAGATTTACTTATTCACTTGGTTTACTCATTATTAGGGGGCTCGCCTCAGTCTCGTGTGGGTCCCAACCAGGGTCGAGCGTGGGGTCAGGCGCGCCCGAGCTGGGGCTCGTATTGAGGGTAAGACTGAAGGAGAGGGGGGGGGGGGTGGGGTCGTAATTAAGAACCGAATTTGTTCAGTTAGGGAGATACTACGACGGTGAAGAAGAAATGCGCTAGTCCGATGGATATAGCAATCGCCAGTACTAAAGGAATGACGGTCGTAAAGACGGTCGATAGCATACTGATTGTTTACACAGTCAAAATCAGCCAAAATTTAATCTTCATATTTTACCTTGACATATCATGAGGTCGACAAGGAAACTTGCTGTGTGCAACGGTATTATTTCCGTAATCAGCATGTCAAATTACCTCTATGGGCTCTACAAACTATTGCCTCTGCAGTTTCTGGTATTTCTCAACGTCCAAAAACGTGATTTTCAAACATGATTAAATTGGTTTCAAAAACGGAAGATGTAAGCTTTTCTATATTCATAACAAAGTAATGTTCAGTACAAGTCTATGCTGCAAATCAGGCTTCCTTTCGCTTTCAAACAGTGAAGTAAGAAGTGCTGCCAAAATTCCAACCAGCACGTTTTTCACATTGAGTGCTTCAACTCCTCGGATTAGCACAAGACCGAAACAAGTCGAGCCAAGCTCAAACACTTACTATGGAACCTTCGAGGGTTGAGCTAGCGAATCATTCAAAACTTGCATAGAAAAGCTTCATCGGAAATAAAGTTAATGGGGTCAGGCGCAACCCCTCAAAAGGTCAGGCCGCCTGAGCTTTTGAGGGGTTGCGCCTGACCCTCTCAACTTGCCTTCAAAATTCATAAATCGCCTCTTTTTGATATGAGTATTGAGCGCAAAGCCTCTTCTTGCTATATTGAAAATTTGGAGCCAAACACTTCACCTCTGTGAAAATTATAGCTCTGAAAAGAGGGCTATCCAGATCCAAAAACTTGCCGTCAACTTGCGTATGGTGTGCAATCGCAGAAAGTCGGGCCTGCTGACTTAAAAAAATAGAAACCTGCTGTGAAGGCTGGTCTTCTTCAAAATATAACACCCCGAGCACCTGGATATGAAGCGGAGGGGTCGTTTAGGGTCTTTTGTAGGGGGGGGGGGGTCGTTTTCGAAGGGCTTATGCCTGACCTCTTGCTCAACCCTGGTCCCAACTTTTGTCCATTCGTTTCGGTTTCATGCAGTCGTCATCTATAAATGGCTGCCGAAGAGACCGTTCAGCCAAATCGGGAATGTTGAGATGGTGATGTATAAGTGAGGGCTAGGGCCCCAATTAACTAATGGCTCAGGTTTCGCTGCAAATTATGAAACCATCCAAAGCGAAGAAACCGCTCCAGGAGATAAGAGCGGGCCAGTGGTTTGTTGGCTTTTGTTTCAATTCTCTCTTCTGGAGTCTCTTATAATCTTTTGCTCAGTAGTGCGAGCGGACTGGGGTTCGAAAGTGGGCTTTGCGGTAGATGGAAGCGTTGAAAATTTGATAATGTGACTTCTCTAAAACATTGAAGCATAATTTTGGACTTGTTATCTCTAGACCGTGCAGGATGATGAGCGGAGTCACGTTGGTCGTTTGAACCTTTTGGAGCTAATTCCTTTCTTCGGTATTCGCCTTTTGCAGTTAAACTTGGGCGGCTGCTTATACAAAAGCTCTATTATCATACAGCTTTGAAACCTCACCATTTTCAAATTGAGTGTACGGTGCCTTTGAAGAATGTCATTCGTTCCATATAAACGTACAGTACCTAAAAACTGGTACTATCCCAAAGTAATCTGTTTCTTCATCGAATTCCAGCGTCTTACTGAGGACATTGCGGCTTGTGTCCCTACAGCTTTGATGGTCGTGCCAAGAATACTAAATAGACTCTACGCTGCAATCCAGGCGAGTAAGCAATGAAAACTAAGATTTTCAATTAGCAAGATGCCGTTTAGGCTAAAGTTGAAGGAAGTATCTTTTCGAGAGCGATTTACAGCATTGCCTATTCGCAGAAGTTTGAGCTTATGAAACAGGGCATATTCACAAAGGACACAATCTGGGATAAATTTGTTTTCAACAAAGTTCAGGTACAGTGGCTTAATATGCTGAAAAAAAAAACAACAAATGGGATCCTTTCGGGATCACAAGCTTCTCGAGCTCCTAACAGCAATTTGGGTCGATATATTTTTACAAAACAAAAACTTGCAAAGAATCTCTAATTCCAGAAACAATTGGGTGGTAAAATCGGTTTCATGATGGCCGGTTCCGCTCCTCTTTCGGAGCAAGTTCTGCAAACATGCCGAATTGCTTTGGGTGCAAAAATAGCTGAAGGTATGGCATGAATAAAGGGTGTCCCAAAAGTAAGTACACACTTTTTACAAGTTAATAACTCTCTTGCCACAAAGTCTTTCGCTTGTTTCAAGCACCAGTCAGTAGAGCAGGCTTCAACTTAGATTTACAGTATGGAAGAACCATTCATCGTTCTTCATCACTGTAGGTTTAAGGTAGAAAACTTCCAACATCCGGCGCTTGTAAAACAGGCCGTTCAAAAAAGTTCCAAAAAAGTCTGAAAAGTTGTATACATCAGTGTTTTCAGACTTGCTGAATTTATTAGACGACTTTCCACGAGTATTTAAGGCCTACTGAATGATTTATTCAATTTTTGAAAAACACGAGCAACCCAAAATGGCGCTCAATGCTAGAAGTCGTAATCCTGCACTGATGAAAAGCGATGAGTGATTCACTCCATACTGTAAACCTAAGTCAAAGCCTGTTCTACTGATTGGCACTTGAAGCTGAGCGAAATTGGTGGGAAAAGAGTTATTAGCGATCAGAAAGCGTGTACTTACTTTTGCGGCACCCTGTATAAAATTACGACTAATCAAAATGTTTTCTTAAATTTCACAATCTCTCACTGTCTTCGCCCTTCTTCAATTCAAAAATTACAAACTGTTGACCGTGCGAATTTCAAATTTGAGAAGAAAGGAACGTCACTTATCTTGCCAGCCAGGGTAAACATCAAAAGATACGAAATACTTTGATGAATAAAGCAAATCTTACAAGGGCCAATTAGAGATTAGATGGAACGTGATCGAATAATAGTTGAAAATACGATCTAAAATTGTTTTATCAGCTCAAAAATAGAACATTTCAGAAATCTTGAACAGCTCCTATAAGTCAGCATGTGACCCATACATTTTTGGGTTTCGCCTTGCGGCATTGGTAGCAGCATTATTACTCCCCCAACCTATAAAAACAAAAATGGATACTAGGCATTTCGCTGGAAAATTATCAGCTTCTGCACATGTCGAAAAAAACTTTCATAATTCGACATAAAATCTAATTTATTTGTTCTTGAAGAAAAATCCAGTACATTTTAGCTTACGGTCAAACAGAAACCACAGCCATTGCTACTCTAAGCTGGCTTGGTGACTGGACTGGAGGTCACTGTGGAGGAGTTTCAACATGCTGTAATATAAAGCTTATTGACGTTCCTGAATTAAATTACTATGCCAAGGATGGCAGAGGAGAGGTGCAGTAACTTCGAAGAAGATTATTCTAACAAGCAAAATTTTGTTTACAGATTATGATTCGAGGGCCGAGCGTTACTCAAGGCTATTACAAGGATCCTGAAAAGACTAAAGAGCTTTTTGCCGAGGATGGATTCATACATAGCGGAGATATTGGCGAACTTCAGCCAAATGGCACAATAAAAATTATAGACAGAGCGAAACATATATTTAAACTAGCACAGGTAGGAGAGGTTCGAAAAGCTAACCTTGCGAATTCACTACATCTTCAGGGTGAGTACGTGGCTCCAGAGAAAATAGAAAACATATATATTCGCAGTCCAGTAGTACAACAAGTGTTTGTTGATGGTAATAGTTTAGAAAGGTAAGCCATATGACCCTGCAAAACAGCCAAGAGGGTAAATGACCTGAAGTACATGAATTCACGAGTTTCGTAAGTTTGTGTACAAATACATTGGATTGTGAAATCCTAAGTGGCTTGGATGAACTAGAAAGTACCTAGTAACTTGGTTCTATTGTAAAAATTAGCTCTGTAAATGTTACAGGAATTGAACAAGCGTTGTGAACATATTTTGTTGGTGGTCAGTACCTCCGTATAGTTGGCAAAAATTGAAAATATTAGGTTGTCGGATAATTTCTGTTCACTTTTTCCTACCTGTTCTGGAAAATTCCAGGAGCTTTCTGAAAACCCCAAGTTGTGGCATTTTCAAGACATAGCGGGGTCTACCAGCATTTGGTGCCGCAAATGCACAAATTACCAACATGTTTACGGCAATTTTGTGAGAGCACTCAATTTTTCAATTTTTCTCTTTTTCCCCGCAGCTACTTATGCTTTTCCTCTTTCATTTTTTCTAGAATGTAATTTGGCACTGTCTTTCTTCTGAAGACACTCCTGCGCATCTAGCATGTCAGAAACGAAGAATAAAAAATATCAAAAAAATTCAAAATTTTTCCTAGATCTCTGTCTTTATGTGCATCGTGTCGAGATGAGTTATAAGCTTGAAGACGATTTTTTGAAAATTTCTCGAAGACTATTCCTTTGTTAGAACATCGAAGATTGGAAAGATGGCGCACGCAGGCAATTTAACGGCTCAGATAAACGTCTATAGTCATGCCTGTGTCGCCCTCTATAATTGCTGTACACTTCGGACTATGCCTGTCCATCACTTTGCTCGGTCTCTCACTCATCACCTGAAAGAATACCAGCTCATTTACAAAAACGAAAAAAAACGGATTTTCAGCCACAGTGTGGTTGCTTTGCGCACGGACATTGAAAGACCTTGAAAGAGTTTTGACCCTGCCCACATGCCGTGAACATGAGCTATTTTGAGAGTCCTGAGATTTTTGAAGATTAAAACAAAAATTGTAGCAGAAATCATCCGACATTTGATACTTTGTAAACTTTGCTGGATGAGTTGCATGCATTTATTTTGTACAAATTTTTGTTGGTTTCCCCTAAAAAACTGCGATCTCTAGAATTAAGAACGTACTCAGGTACATAAACTAGTTTGTTGTGTACCATAGTTTTCATAAAGAGCACACGAAGTTTTATCACAATATTGTAGGGCGAATATAATGGACAAGAATTTTAGTCTTTTTTAGTTGGGATCATCAATTCCAAATTTGACTGTAAACTAAGCAGACAAATATGGTTTTCAGGTATCTTATTGGTGTAGTAGTTCCTCAACCCGAAGTTATGGAAGAATGGAATAAAGAGAATGGCGTAGAAGGCCGCACCTTGCAGGAGATTTACGAGGACAAAAAAGTATCGTACCCTTTACCGTAATTGTGCTGTTTATAGCGCCAATTTGTTCCAGGCACAAGAATATGTGCTCTCGAAACTACAAGAAATAGGAAAAGAGAACAAACTCAACTCTATAGAGCAGGTGCGATGTTTCTGAAGGCTTTGCTAGTTACTTTCAAATTCAATAACGAAAACACGATTCAGCTAGATGATGAAAAGTAACCAGTTCAGGTAAAACGAGTATATTTGGAGATGGACCCATTCACTGTAGAAAATAATCTACTCACGCCTACATTGAAAGCCAAGAGGCCCCAATTACGACAGAAATATAAGGATATTATGAATAAGATTTATGAGCAGAATAGAAATTCGTAGTGGTTTTATTATAAGTATATAAAAAGTTGATACTACATCATTAGCGTTATGTAATTTATTTAGTGTGCTCCTAGTACTCTGAAATAAACTGCTATAGTGTAAAAGAGACATTGCACAAGATAAAGCAGCGTTGTCTTTTTTGGCAGTTAAGCCACAGTTTTCTCACTGAGTTGAGATGGCGGAACAAAAGCGAATGTCGATTTGCTCATCGAATCGAAAAATGTGTGCAATGATTTCATGACAAGCGCATAATATAAACTGAATCGCTTGAATTTTTCTTGGTTATCATGAAGAATCCAAAATAATTATTCTTCAAAAAAATTTTCTTGGTTCAAGTCTCATTACTGCGTCACCATGCCGTCATCTCCTTAGCCTTAACAGATCATATCATTGGAGCGACACTGATGCAGTGCGATTTGAGAGAACCACTCGCATCATCTCAGACAGGAGTTTCCTCAGGACAAGTCAAAAAACAGCGGTTCCGCAGGATGTTCATTATCACAAATGTGGAAACGTTGAAATGGGAACTTTCGCACAATATTCACGTCAGATTGGTTAGAGACGGGGACTTCCGTAGGAGTCGTTGCAAAACGCCTCGGAAATTCCGAAAAATGCCAGCAACTTCGCAGCACTTTGACCTGCCAGTACTTCCGCAGGTTTTTGAATGTGTCGTCTCTTACGATGTCATATTTTTCGCAACTTCCGCAGCACCTCATCTGGAACTTCCGCAACATGTTTGCAAATCTTCCGCAGGTGACCGGGCGGAACTTCCCCAGAAATGCTGCTGAAATTCTGCTAGTTGTCTGAGAGTGAATATCAAAAAGCGGAAGAATTGATTCCACAGCAAACCCCTTAGGTGGTTCGCTTCTTGTGACAATACGAGGTAAATGAGTATGATAGTTTTATGGTAGCAGTCATTTCCGAGAACTTTCCGATTTTTTACTTACGTGGGCTACCCTGTGCTCTGGTTTTTCTCGTAAGCTGTTTCCTAGTAAGCATGAAAAAATTCGTGAGTCATTACAACTACTACCTAACTACCGTACTCGTTAGGAACGTTCTTGGATTCAGTATTCGTCCACTTCAAGACCGGGACTAGCGATGCGACGCTAATATTAGCTAACTTAGCTAACTCGCACCTTTCTCGCAAATCGTGAACGTATTGTATTCCTCCTTTGCTAAAATCGAGAGAAGAATAAAAAATAAGCATATATGTACAAATTGCACATTGATAGCTTCATGCAATTAGCTATAGGTGCTGGGTTTTCCCTTTCAAACCAACTATAGAGTAAAAGTAGGCAAGACTTCATTCAATTCAATCTAAAACTCTTCTGCGTTGTTGTTTTATGAGATTTGAAATCCACCATTACAAGAAGTTGGCTTGGCGATAGTTCTGTCGCACCATTCTCAAAATTTACAACTTTTTGTTTTGTTAGGAGGTTTGCTTACTTTAAACCTTTGTTCAATGAGCAAATGCTCTTTCAATAACACCTCAAAGCTAACTCACAGCGTGTAGATAGAAACCGTAAAAAATACAAATTTTGATTAGTCAGAGTTTAGTCGTAAAAAACCTGAAAATCGCTTGAAAAATAGAAGTAGTCAATATTATAGGTTTTATAACTGCTCTTTCCAACTGTCTGAAAACCTCTGCTGACTGGATGTCTACACGATCATAACAAGGAGTACAAAACGGCAAATTTTTTGACATGTTTTCGAAGATCATAACTTTTCACATAGGCGTTTAATCACTTTAAACTTTGAATAATCACTTTAAACTTTGAACGTTTGGGAACAGCAGGTAACAGAATTGTAGTATTGATTGCCCCAACTTTTGCGACCAAACACAGAAAAATCGAATTTGAATATTTTTCTGCCGCTTCTCCTATATAAAGTACCATAGATAGTCTAGAGACTGGCAGCGACTCAAAAGTGAAGGTTGTTTGATTATCTGCCCCTCATAAAAAGTGAAGGTTGTTCATATAATAACAGAGAAGAAAAAAAAGGTGCAAAACATTTAGTAAAAGCATGAGAATCTCTTGAAAATCGGAAGGAAACGCTGCAATAAGTTTGAAATCTTTCACTTGGCGGCATTGCAAGTTTTCGCTCCAGGACCACGCAGTCCACAACCCGGGGGAACAAAGAAAATTTGGTTTTTTTGTGTTTATTCCAAAAACACCATATTTTAGAATTAAAGATCATCAATAAAAGATAAACAAGAAAAGAATCAGTTCTGAAAATATAGAGTTTTGCTTTTATCAAGTCGAAATGCGAATCAGATGACCTAGTTTTTGGTGCGTCCTTTGAATTTTTACCCTCGCATTGTGGTTCGCGTTTTCTGAGACGTTGTCTAAATTGTAGCGCTCATTATTCTGAGCAATAATCGTCCAAGCTGGAAAAAAATCGCTGCGAAAGCACTGAAATAGAACAAGTTAAAGAACACCGCACCTTTTACGACTTTTCGCAAAAAAAAACTCTAACATAATCAAAGAGATAAGGGCTGGGTGGTTGTCTGCATTATGATCAGAAGCAAGACCTATAGAATGCACGAAAAAAATGCGTGAAAAGATTTGAGCAGCTAGGAGAAAAACAAACAATTTTCGAAAATAAGGTTTTTGCCGGATTTCTCGATCAAATCAAAAAATGTGGTTTTGGGACGTTGTCAGCGCGAACGTAGAGATCAAGAGCTTCGAGATGATATACAGCTTGCTAAAATTGGGTTCGAAACAGCAAAGAAAAGGGTACCAAAGCCAAATGCCCCGCGCCCCGCGTTTGAAGTAGCGAGGTAGGCGCAATGCGCGGAGACGCAGAACGAGCAGCGGAGACAGACCAGAGCCGACGGGGCATTTTGCTCTGGTCGTAGATTTCCGCGGGGTCTCAACGAAACCCTGCAACATTATAAATCATCCTGATCGTCATGATACGACGAGGAGAACTGACAACATCCCAAGCTCAGAAAATCATTCATTAACGAGATAGTTCAACGTTTTTTTGCGCAACTCTCTGCGCAAGATTTAAGTGCAGTTTCTCGTCTTTTGTTTAACTCCAACAACTTTTCTATACTTCTGAAACTCGATTCTGGTCAAGTAAGAGGTTAACTGAGAAATTTTGTATTGAATTTTGGCGTAATTTCCACAGAAACCTTCCTTTCAACGCAAAAAGACTATAAAACGCAAATTCTTGGTTTCGCTGAGATAACCTAAACATATTATTCCCTATATTTGCATCATTGACATTCGTTCCGATATACAGGATAATAACATCCTGACCGAAGTCCCGGATGACTTCTGTTTTTTTCAAGGTGAAGGTTGTGTCCCCTCATAGCCCTTAAAGTGAAGGCTACCAGAGTACGTAGCTCTATGTATCGTGGGTATGCATAGTACTCTCAATGAACTCTTTAAAGTATTATTATAAGAAGCGTGATTGGCTCTTTTGAACAAATTCAACAGTAAGCAATTTCGCCAAGAAAACAAGAGGTTATGGTTTTTCAAATGGTGTGATAGAACTTTCGTTCTAACCTAATACGTTGCGCATACAAAGAAGATTTTCTGATACCATCTAATTATAAGCCTACTCTAACTATAGGAGCAGGATTTGTGAAGATCAGTATAACTCAGTGCTCCACAAAATGTGGAGAAAAATAATATGCTCACGTAATATCTCCTCCATGACGAAGGCGGTCGCCCAAATAGGTTGAGAGCATGCAAGGCTGACGCGCACGCGGTGCGCGGGCAATTGTCAACCACGGGTCGCGCGCACGCTCGCGTGGATGACCGCTGACCAAGCGTGCGCGCGCCCTGTGGTTGACAATTGCCCGCGCGCCGCAGGCTTTCATGCTTTCAACCTATTTGGGCGACCGCCTTCGTCTTGGAGCAGATATTATCAAAAGAGGAGTGTTGCCACCGATTGGAGTGATCTGGTATGACAAATCATGCATGGCAAACATTGCTTGTTGGCATTGATTTGAGCGAATTTTGTCCTGTTAACATAGGCCCTTCCTTGCGCACATGTAAATAGTAGCATAGCTTGTTTCTAAATAGGAAAAGGCACTGTGCAAACAAAAAATACATGTATGAAGGATATGCAAACTTATCCACTGTGAGACTAAGCAGAGCACATGGTGTTTGGAGTCGCGAAGGGAAAACGGAAAATGACTGAATGTTGGTGATATTTATACAGGAGATAGTGTACGAGCAGTACTCAATGATTTTTAAAAGTGCGTAAGAGCTTGTTTCCCCGCTTATGTGAATGTTTACTATGTAGCCAGCTATACAGATTTGCTTCTAACCTCATGATTATAGTAATGAAGAGAACCGTATATAAGGGAAGCAGTTCGCCTCATAGCTATCCTCGCCTAGCTTACAATGATTAGAAATCTTCTCGTAACTCATCAGATTGCTTTTCTATAATCCTCCTTCCTTCGTATTGAAGTAGCGTCGATGTCTACGGCCAGGAACTACTGTGACCATTCTATGATATAGTCTCATATAGAGACATAACGCCTCCAAAATTAAGCTGCTCGCACTTTCTCCAGAACTAGGTTTAGTTAAAGTTTAAAGTATCTGAAGTAGTAAAATCATGGAAAACATCGAGAGCGTTTATACGCACGTTGTAACAATTTTAATCTAATCATAGGCTATTCTGCCTATACAGTGCCTATACAACTCAGAACAAGCGCACTTTTCATGTGCTGCCAAAATCTTAAGACCCTCAACTTAGGGTGAACGGTGCCTTTAAGGTAATTCTTGATACGAATGCATAAAAGAAAGTGTCATATTCTTCGCTGCGGATCGAGCATGTTATCAAATAGATAACATCACGGCTGACTAAACTGCGTCTGGAGTTATACAGAATTGTACATACGGTCCGAACTAGATAGTTCTACAGTTGTACTAACTTTTCGAGCCCTGCACTCCTCAGAATTTGCCGCTGTGCTCCTTGTCATATTTGGAAAACTCATAGAGATATCATACTCACATTATGTGTAGCTAAAGTGACGACGACACAAGGCGATGCATACGTAGAATGTAAAACACATCCAGAATTATTAGATTCTCGATAGTACTACTTATAGTCGAACATTTGGTTTCATCTGACAGTTTTTTTGATTCATATTGAAATTAGAAAATTGTGTCGCATTAATTTTAGAAAATTACAAAAAGTGACTTCTGATTTGCTTGCAATAAATCCTTCAGAAAGAAGATTTTGCAGTTTTAAGCGCAAACGTCAGCTCTTCAATAAACCCAAGTCGCGTATTTAGTCACAAGCTGTAATTTTTGAGAAAACAACACAAAACAGCAAGGTTAGCTTGCCATTCTTCGAAAACCAGGAATTCGACTAACGCGAGCCTCTTAAATGAAAGGGATGTGGGGTTGATGCTATTTACTGTGTCGGTATTATCTTAATATTTTCTGTTCATTAGTGGGCTTGCGACAATGACAAAGTTTAAGTATTCCTAACATCTCCTCACTGAGCAACCCACTATAGCGAAATGAAGGGCATTTAAGGTGCTATTGCAAAGCACATAATGCTTTATAATTCGCAAAACTGACACCAAGCGGAACCAGGGAATAGAGAATGGTTATGATCAAATTTTCGTACCATCCTAAAATTGAATGTCTTGAAAAGAAGTTTATGAACATAACAATGATAATTATAACAGATAGATGTATAAAACGCAGGCACAGACTCAAAATTAAGAGACTGTAATCCAAAATCGTGAATTATTTTCAGCTTGGCTGAAAATGAATAAGCAGTTGCTATCTCTAATCTTAGTGGCAATCGCGTTTGCTACAGTAAATGCAGCAGGCGAACTTTGGTTCATAGAGCTGGTAAGTCACTCCTAAATGTTAAAATTAACTTCCGAATCATTTTCATGTTTTAGTGCCATGACCACTGTGAGGCACATCCAGATGATTACAACGGAAAGTGTTGGATTAGGTGCATTGAATCATTAGAAAAATTGTATCCAACAAGTCCATTTATCTACTCGCTGAAAGATCTGGATCTGGTAGGAGAAAGAGAAAATTCAGCACCTGAGTACCCTACTCAAGAACAGGTTCGATCTTTTTCAAAATACACGTGATTCTGTTAGGGATAAATCGAATGTTATTATAGTGCAATCATTTGTGTAACGAGGGTGGTAAATGTCAAAGCCGTTTCCATAGTCATTTCCACAGCAAAGGGCAATGCGTCGAAGAATGCTTGACTAGTCGTCTTGATGAGAAAAAGAAGAAGAGTTTCTCAGAGAAGCTAGGAAATTTGCTCTCCTGCATCAACCCTAGGTTTATGCACTGAGTTCTCGCAGAACATAAATGTTGCTTTGTTTGTTGATACATTACGCAGAAATTCTTGCTAATTTATTACAAGAAGGGCAAATCAGCGTGCGAAGTAGTCTCGCATATACGATAACGCTCGTAATTTGTGACGAAAAAATGCGTTTTGAAGTAGACTTAGGCGACAACCGCGAGAGTCGCATAACAATCGCCTGATATATGACATTATCGTTGCTTGGCCATATCTCTCTTCAGTGTGGGTGTGTTCTGAATCCGACGACATCACTCAAGTCAGCTCGGCGCGGCGCATCTTCGTGGAAGTGGGGGCAGTTACGTGATAGGTATACGGTAGAAATTGAATCTGCACGGAACCGCTTGAAATTTTGGGTACGGGGCTTATTTGATGTGCTCATTACAATTATAAGCCGGCAGTCCTTCCTTGGCTAGGTCTGAGCATTCAACCTAGTTTCGAGCCTATGAACCCTGAAAGCAAATATATGGTCATGCACGATACACCCCATTTCAGTAATCTCAGGCGTTGTTCGTATGTAGGAAGGAAGTGAGGGTAGGGTGGACCAGAAAAACATCAATGAAGCAAGTCCAGTAAAGACCTTCTGAACCCTGTCCAAGCTTCTGTGCTTCTGAAAAGGGCACCATACATGGCTTGCTTATTCCAGCACCGGGAACACGAGGGCCTTGTAAGGCTTCAACAATATCTTCATAACTTTTGTATTGAAATACTGTATATAAACTCAAAATTCTAGTGCTGTGACGGAAGAAAATTGTAAGTAAGGCTTCAACTCATCATTAGTACCCAATTTTTTGGTAGATACCTAAATGCCAAATTTACGCCGCTGTGTCTCATAAAGAACTCGTTCTGTGCGACATAAAGCATGGAACGCAACATCGACAGAAATGTCCTAATCGACGCACCACCGAATTCTTGGCATCTATTGAACACTGTAAGGCTCCTCTCACCTGCGATTCTTACCAAAGTAAGTACCAAAAATTGTAATGCGACATTAGCACTCGTTAGGAGGTGTCCATAATTCTGGGTAGTTCTGTAGCGTAGATGATAAAATAAAGTGGTAAGAGTGCCCTTTCCCGAGGAAACCCGCTAGGATATGGAGGTCGTATGTGCCTTATCAACTTAGACAATCATGTATTTGTCGATTGGGTAGAATTGGCATGAAATGTGGTGACTATAGCAGAGATTGCATGTGGAGCTCTTTTGACCAGAGATGGTGAAGGGGAGATATCGAGAAGACTTAAGTGAAGCATTGACTACCGAGGTACAATGATGAATGATATTATCGTTTAAGGAAGATAAGTTTTGGATACACAACCTACATTAAGCTTGAAGCTCAATCCTTAATTTGTCATTATACTTCTTTCACATGAATAACAAAACACTAAGTTTTGGGCACAGAGGCAGACATTACTAGACGAAGGATGCAGGGAACAAGGACCATGTTTAGGACCGGCAGCATTGCTATTTCTTTTCCTAACAAAAAAGAAAGGATAATTTTAGAACCACTTTGCTGTATGAAGATAACTTTGACTGCGGAACGAGTTTACGTAAAATCTGTGAAGATGTTGTGGAGCCAAAAGTTTGGCTCTAGTTGGGGTGGGATCAGTTTAGCAGTTGCCATTATTTTATTTTATTTTATTTCACATGCACAAAAGTGCGCCAAAAGAGAACACATACATGAAATAAGTGGTATCAGTAGAATCAGTAGCCAATTTGAGTCCCTGGCTGGAGCCAGCAGGTCGTTCTCCATTCTCCGGATGGTGGTAAATCCTCAACCGAGTTCCTGTTCCCTGTCCAAATGCAAGAACGTGGCTAAAGCTACCAGGGCTTGTCCGAACAACTGAACCCGGACGAACGAAACCGCTCAGGACCCTGGGCGAGTGGACAGGGGGGATCTCAAGGAAGGGAAACGCCAACTTTTGCTTTCCTTGAACGGCTAATCCAGGCGGAGAGACTGCAGATCTGTTCAAAATGGTTAGGCTACCAAGATTCAAATGCAGTTGCTTCGTAAAAAAAGATTCAAAAGAGGTTCAAAAATTTATAAGTGGAAGTGCAAAAAACCTTTTTACTAAATTCAGCTGAAGTTCTACAAGAAATTATTTTCAATGGTAGTTTGCTGAGCCATCTAGCTGTGCGGCAAACAAATGAGTTGAAAGCTTTGGAAACGTACTTGTTTCCCAGTTTTTGCTAACCTAGACCAAAACCTCCTGTTCTCCCACACGGCGTGAATACCCAATACCGACTAGGTCTTAACCTTGTTTCGAGGAGCAGAATTCTAAAACAGAATATTAAATCATTACATATCCTTCTATACTTCAGACTGTGCAGCCTTAGTGCAGATGGTCTAGAATGATACGATGGCAAAGATCTAGGATAGTTAGAATCTGGGGACCATCTATAGTAAACAATTCTAGAAAACGTCTTCTGAACTTTTTCGATTTTATCGATATTTTTCTTCAAAAAAGGGTTCCAAACAGGTGACGCGTATTCTAGGTGTGGGAGCACATAGGTCTTGTAGAGTCTTACCAGAAGCATCGCATCATTACTGTGAATACTTCTAAATACAACGAAAAGAGCTGAAAGAGCTTTCTTAGTTATGTGGTCGAATTGGGAGGTAAATTTGGGCTGGTCATCCAGAAGTATGCCCAGATCTTTGGTGCTACTATGGTGCTCTAAAACAACCCCATCATATGCATGCATAAGTGCAACTTGTGGAGTTTCCAAAATGTAAAACTTTTGTTTTAGAAGGGTTTATTGGGAGATTCCATTTTCTAGACCATAATTTCATGTTTTCGATTGCGGAAGATATTGCATTGTAAGCTTCAGATTGTTCTTCTTTTTTGTAGCAAAAATAAATTGTTATGTCATCTGCAAAAACTTGTATTTTTAGGTTTGGATGAGTTTTCAGAAAAGAAGGTAGCTCAGCAGTGTAGGTTAGAAATAAAAGGGGAGACAGTATGGCACCTTGAGGAACTCCAATACCGCATGTCATGCCTATTTCATGAAGATACGATGAAAACCATGATAGCGGCTGACCGCGAATACCGTATTGTTCGAGCTCCCACAGTAATCCAAGTGATTAACTCTGTCAATTCATGGAAAGAAATTTTTTAGAGCTTCTAACTTTTTCCAAGGCCAGTTCATGCAAATGTATCGCAGCTAAAGAAGATTAGAAATTTTTGAAGTTTTGTCCAAATTTTTAGACACACACGGTAGAATTGCGGATGTAAGCAAACTACTGACTGATGCTCATTACCGTGGGATTACGATGAAGGAGACAGAAGCTCCAGAATACGAGAACCATGAATATGAAGGAAATATTTTTCTAAATTTTGATGTAAATTTGCCGTGATCGTCAACATTGGTGTAAGAAGTACTGCTGAAATTTCAATTTCGCAGTTCATATGCACGATTTTTCGCAGTAAAGCTGCTCATAACTTCGTCCACAAAAGCGATAAGTAGATATAGAATACAGATACGAAATCAGCGTTGAATCCTGAATCGAATGGTGGGAAGACTCTTGGATTGGCCACTTCAACTTATGATCATTCCAATTTTAGCTAACTCGCAACTTTTTTGCAAATTGTGAGCGGCATTGTACTCCTCGTTTGCGAAAATTGAGTGAGGAATAAAAGATAAGCGTAGTTGTACAAATTACATAATGATAGCTTTATGCAGTTAGCTATGGGTGTTTGATTTTCACTTTCAAAACAACTATTGAGCAAAACTAAGCAAGCTTGCATCCAATACCGTCTAGAACTCTTTTGCGTTGTTGTTTTGTGAAATTTGGAATCCACCATTGAATGGGGCTGGCACGGAAGTTCTGTCGCACGATTTGCAAAATTTACAACCTTTTTTTTCAGAGGGTTTGCTTACTTTCAACTTTTGGTTGAAAGCAAATGCTGCTTGTCGCGGCTCGCGCGATACAAGCCACTCCTCGAAACAGGAGGCCGGGAGCGCTGGCTATCGCGTTACTTGGCGCGCTATCAAGGTCGCGCCAAGACCTCTCCTGCTGGGCGCGTTGCCAAGTTTTAGGGTATATAAGGGCGCGTGGGCTGCGGTCCACGCCTCCTCGAGCTTCGTTCGTTATCGATTTTTGATGATATCAACCCGCTGGCAGCGCCTCCAGTAGCTCCCGCAGATGATCAACGGTTTCGAGCGGTTGAGCCCTTGTTGTTCTTCTTGTGTATGAAGACGCGCAGCTAGGGTTGTAGTCTAGCGAGTACGGACAGGATTGCGGGAGTGGAGAAGGGACTCACTGTCCCGTAAGGGCTAGGGTCTTGCGGTTGACCCATCGGAGAACCCGGAACTATCTGTTAGAGTTGATCTTCACCAGGCATCGGCAGCACGGGACGAGGCGGCTCGTCCCGTGCCTATTCTTCTGGATCCTGGAGTAGTAGTGTAGTAGTTTAAGTAGTGTTTAGTGGTTTTTTAGTAGTTTAGTATCCTCGTTCGTTTTAGCAGTTGTTGTTATTTTGTATAGTTTTAGATAAATGTAACGTAATCTAGTTGTGCGTGTGATGTTCGTGTCGTGCGGGTTAGAGGGGTGTTGGCGTCGAGCAGACACGCTAGAGTGCGCGCACTAGCGCAGAAGCAGTAGATCCTGGAGTTGAGGAGTTGTGTTGTCAGGCGGACGAGCACTGAGCGAAGTGCTGAGCACACCGAGCCGCAACACTGCTTTTTGATTACCTCAAAGTTATCTCAAAGTTACCTCACAATGTATAGACAAAAGCCGTGAACATTCAAATTTTAGCCCTTTTGAGTTTGATTTTGCAGGAAATCTCAAAGTCGCAGAAAAAATCGAAGCAGTCAATATATGGGTTTAATTACCTGCTCTTTCCAACTGTGCAAATTATCTGTTGGTAGACGTCTCCGTCTCTCTCCTATGTTTTTTGAGCATGGAGTACAGAACGGTGAATTTGATTTTTTTGGTCCATAACTTTTCATAGAGATATCAAATCAACACAATCATTGCACAGGTGGAAAGGTAA